GGCTGGGGGAGGGAGAGCGCGGCGGGCAGAGGCAGAGGGGCACAGGCCTGTGCCCCGCGGGGCTGAGGGCCCAGGTGGGTCCTGGTGCCGCCGGGTCTTGCAAAGGGGGTCGAGGTGGGGTGGTCAGTAGCTGGCGAGCATGTCGTGGAGTTTCCGGGAGTGGGTGCGTGAGCGGACAGCGGGAGTGAGAGCGAGTCTCCTCCGTCCCGCCTCTCCCCAGGACGCGGGCGCCCTGATGCTCAGATCCCACCGCCGTTGCTGAGCAGCGAATCAGCACAGCGGTGAGGGTTGGGGGGCTGTTCCCGACTAAGTCCTGAGCTGTGAACTTGGGGCCCCGACCACACGGACGCTGGGAATACAGCGCTTGGGTGTCCCTGGGGCGTGGTCTCTAGGGGTTCGGAGAGAGAACACCGGACCCGTTCCTGGGGCCCACACACTTGAGGTGGGGGTCCCTGTTAAACTGTGGAAGTGACCTCAGACGCAGGCAGGAATCTTGTCCCTGGGGTGAGCTGACAGGGAGCCCCGGTGGACGGATCTGGGGCAGTGTCCTGGGAGGCGGCAGCAGGCAGGCCCTGGGGGTGATTATTTGGGGTCCAGCGTTGACGGAGGGTGGAGGCAGAGACCAGGCGGAGGCTCGTGGAGGGGAGGGTGACCAGATACTCGTCCCAGCTTGTGGGCATCAGCCTGGGGAAGGTCAGACAGGACCCTGGAGCCCGCGGGCAGTGGCCCCGGGGCAGTGACCGGCGTGGTGTGCGTGGCCCTGATCCACACAAGGGAGCAGGTGGGGAAGGCGTGGGGGCCCCTGTGTCGGGCCCAGTCATCTGTTCTGGAATATTCTCTGCACATCTGGACATGTCCCCACCTTCAAGGGTAATGGAGACCCCATAATGGCTCTTTTCTCAGGGAAAAGCATCTGATTGTGTTCACCTCTGAGCACAGTTTGTTCAGGACACACAATGTCACCCAAAAACGAGCAGAGACCACGATTCTGTTCGCGAATGAGACGTTTATTGAGAGTGTGTGCAGGAGGAGGGCTGGCGGTGGGCGGGGCGGGCAGGGCCCGGGGGCCTGGGGGGGAGCCGCGGGCCTAGGAACAGGCCGTGGTGTCCACTGTCTTCTCCACCAGGCTCCCCTCGTGCGTGACCTGGCAGGTGACCGTGCGGTGCTGTCTCCACTGGCCGGCGGTCAGGCTCAGGTAGCTGCTGGCCCCGTACTTGTTGTTACTCTGCTTGGAGGCCTGGGAGGTCTCCACGCCCTGGGTGATGGGCTTGCCGTCGGCCTTCCAGGCCACGGTCACCGCGCCGGGGTAGAAGTTGCTCATGAGACACACCACGGTGGCCTTGTTGGTGTCGAGCTCCTCAGAGGAGGGCGGGAACAGCGTGACAGAGGGCGCCGACTTGGGCTGGCCTGCGGGGAGGGGTGGGGGGTCGTGGGGCGGGGAGGGGGAGAGTGTTACAGGTAGGGGAGAGTCCAGCACGTTGGGTCACCCCCACAGCCCTTTATGGCCTCTGGGATGTTTCCCTTTCACAGACGGGACCCTCCTTGAACACCTGCACAGGTCCCACTTTCCTAGAAGACCCACAAATCACTTGTCTGGGGTGACCAGCCACCCCAGCATCTCGTGAGTTCCTGGGGGCGCTGTCCCCCTCTCTGGGCTCTGAGTCTGCGTTTGGAATCTGGCCCCAAGCCCTCGCCCCGTAAGAGGCTTCATCTCACTTCACGCTCGTGGGCCCGGGGCCTGCCGGTGTGGGGGTCCTGCCAGGCTGGGCCTCCTTCTCCTCTGAGCACCCAGCTCCGCGTCCCAAACACCGGCTCTGCCTGAAGGGTCTGACTCTTCCAGCCCACCGGGGCTCCCCCGAGGCTCGCTTACTTTCCCGTCCTGACTGCTGTATTTTCGGGGTTGGTAGCTTGGCCGGTTGACCCCCACCCGAGGACGGACCCCAGCCCTGTGGCCACCCACAGACTCTGCTGACTCCTGACTTCACCCGCCTGCTGGTGGCTCTGAGCAGCCCCCCAAACCCCGCCTCGTTCACCCCTGCATCGGCTGTGCCTCTGAGGGCGCCGAAGCCTGACCCTCAGCTTGGACAGGTGAGGCAGCTGGTGCCAGGGACACAGTCTGCTCCACGGGACCTGCTCCTTTCTGGCTTCGGTCCTGCGGGCCTGGCTAGGACCTGCCTGTCTCGTGCTCCTGCCCCACAGCCCCTCAGCCCCAGAGGCCAGGAGAGCTGCAGCCTGGAGCCAGCCAGAGTCTGCGGTCTGCTCGCCACTGGAAGAACATCTGATGCCTTCCGTGTCCCCGAAGGCTGGGCGCAGACCCAGGCCGCCCCTGGCCCCTCGAGTGGCCCTTCCTGCCCGGATGGGCACTGAGTCGCAGGCCCCAGGGGCCGGGACAGTCTCCAGGCCACCGAGTATCCTGCCAGAGCTGGCCTCTGGCCCCGGGGTGTGGATGTCAGCAGAGGGGAGGGAGCCCCATTGCTGGGTCAAGCCCCCAGCCCAGGTCCCAGAGACCCGCCTGTCGGCTCCTGTCACTGGGACCCCTCCTGCCAGGTACCCAGAAATGAAGCCCTGTCCCCCTGACCCACAGAGAGCGGTAGGGGTCGGTCCTTACATCGGGAAGGCCAGAGGGAAGTCAGCCCCAGAGAGAGAGAAGCAAGTTTCTCGAGACGGCAGAGCAGGGGACGGGTTGGGGCAGGGGCAAGAGCCACTTACCGAGGACAGACAGCCGCGTCCCGCTCCCGAAGACTGTACACAGTGACTGAGGCTCGGACCAAAACCTCTGGGCGTGGCCGGGACTGGGGACCAGGCGCTGGTTGGCGGCTGCAGCGGGGCGGGGCGTGTGGTCAGGCCCGGCAGCCAGTCCCCTGGGGCAGCACACCAGCTGGGCCCACGCCCAGGCTCCCCCACTCCCCACTCCCCAGCCGTGGTCCCCAGTCCTCGGTGGCGACAGGGACAACGAGTGTCCTCCCCGCAGGGGCAGGCGTGATGGCGACTCCCATGTGGCTGCTCTTGGCCTCCTGTTAGGACTCTGAGTGTCCCCCCGTCAGTGTCCATGGTCCGCCCGGGGGGCCATGGGCGCCAGGCCATTCCCGACTCCCAGGGCTCCCGCTGAGGCTCCTCAGCTCCATGTTTTCTTGGCGCTTGTCTGAGCTGTCAGACCGCGGTTTTCCCCATCGGCTCGTCCAGAGTGGGTCTCTCCATCCGTGCGTGGTCCATCCGCCGTCCACCGTCCGCCCGCCGTCCTTCCACAGGCCATGGCTTCCAAGCACTCCGCTGCGCCAGGCGCTTCTGCAAGTTCGGTCATGATAATGGGAACCCCGAATCTGACAGCAGCGTCTCCCTGACACCCCTCAGGTCAAGCCAACGAGGCCTTCATCCAGGTCAAGTTTGAGCTCCCTCCCCACTGCCTGACACCCCTACGGGCCCCTCTTTCCGGCCGCTGTTCTCCCTGGGGCATCTGACCACCCCGCCTCTCCTCTGCCTCCCCCGACCCCCGCCTGGCCCAGCACGACAGCATCCCCGATTTCAGTCTCCTGCCCTCAATACCTGCAGCTCCACTCACCTGCAGCTCGACCCACACACACCGTGCCCCTTGAGAGCCCCACAGGCCTGCAGACCCAGCTGACCCCAGCTAAACTCCCATTCCCCTGCAACTTGCTCTCCCCCTCCGTCGGGCTCACTTCAGCAGATTTCCTCCAGCCCCGAAGTCTGCAGTCAGGCCCTCCCTGGGGGCGCAGCGGGTTACAGCACAGCACTAGGAAGCTAAAGCCACTTCAGCATGAGTTCGATTCCCGCCTGCCCCGGAGGTGACCACAGGGCACGGCAGACCTCTCCTGACCGCCCGCTGCTCCCCTCAGCAGTGAGCTTCGTCGATCTGCCTGTTTTGCTCCCCACTCTGTCTCTGGTGAAGCCTCTCGCCGCTCCTGAGCCTCTGGCCTGTACCCCAGTTCTGTATGCACAAATAAATAAATCTTTAAAAAAAAAAAAGTATGCAGTCATCCCAGAAGGCCTCTTCTCACTGACTCGCCTCGCCCTCCATGCTCCAGGCACCTAAAAATACCACGGGCATATCTAGGAAAAGAGACACCCAAATCATAGCTAAGACTGTGCCCACAGGATCCCCAGGCTTTGCCAAACCCAGTGATACCCCCAGTCTAATCTGTCTGCGTGGGAAGAGTGGGAAGAGAACCCGTTGCCGTGGGTCTGCCTCAGGGACAGCTGATGTTAGGCCGGCACACAGATTTCTGAAACAAATTTTAACACGATACTAATTCATATTCTTGGTTTATTTTAAAGGAAACAAACCTCGCATCGGTTACTAAGTTCACTATCTGAGTAAAGGTTCTCAACTCTGTAGGGGATCTCCCCAAGCTTACAACCTTCCCATTTAAGGACAGAATCTCCTTAAAGCGAGGTTGCCCAGCTCATGGTTGTCCAACCCACTCCATCCTTTCTAGCCAGTAGAGTGAGAGGCGGAGAGAGGTTGTATCAGGACGAAAGAGAGTGTCATTCTTTGCAGTGATGTGACGATCACCTGTTAACTCCAAAGGCTGGTACAGAGGTAGATAAGCCACTGAACATAAGAGCAGACATACAAAATCAATAGTTCTCCTTCTACGCAAGTAACAACCATTTAGAATACGAAAGTGGGGGAAATTTACAACCGTAATAAACATTATATTTAAAAAACTTAGGGATGAACATGCCACAAAGTGCACGGTATTTGCTCAAGTGTGGTAGAAGAAACGTGTCCGAGGTCATGACAGAAAAGTGAGTGAGTGAGTGGGGAGTATGTCGTGCTCCTGAGTGGAAATGCTGAGCGCGGTGAGTTCTCCTAAACTAATCCTATGTCCCATTAAATTACAAACACAGCATCCAAGGACTGATTTTCCAGAATTAGAGAACTGACTCTAACATCTATCAGTGAAGATAATAACGGAGAATAAACAGGGCTGTAATAACGCCTAATGCGTTGCTTCATAACACAGTGTTGAAAAACAGTAACAATGACATGTTCTTTCCCTATCAGACACCAAAACATATTGCAAAGCTAAAATAATTAAAACAGGGTAGGACATACGCAGGACTAGACCATTTAATATTAGAACTATAGAGAGTCAGCAATTAATACTTGATGCAAGTTTCATTTACAAGCCCCATTAAAAAAACATCACCAAAGATACAGCACATGCTGGCGAGAATGTGGGGAACAGAAGACCCCCCACTGCTGGGGGGGGTGCAGATCGTGCCAGTCACTACAGAACGTGCAAAACACTAACAATGGCGCTTCCATATGACTCAGCAATTCCACTCCTGGGGATCTACGCAAAGGACACACAGACACTGAC